TTAAATCCAGAACAAATTTACAACTGCGACGAAACGGGGGCTTAAACTACCCACATCATCAAAAGTGTTGGACTGAAAAAAAAATATTTAGCAAGCAAAAAACGCAAAAAACCGTTGAGATAAAAATGTGTTTGGATTTTTATAGAAATAAGTCAGTTTAACGGTAGTGTTTGAGCAAAAAGTATTAAAATAAAATTTTATACTGTAACTTTTAAAACGCCGCGAGCTGAAATTTCTGGTTTTGATAGAACAGAATAGTAGCCCTCTTCCAAGCTGGATTTTCAAATCACCGAATAGTACAGGATTTGGGTTTCCCAAGAAGTTCGGTTATTCGAACAATTCAAAGATTCCAAGAAACTGGCTCAGTTGAAAATCGGCCACGCAGTGGGCGTCCTCGAGTAACAGATGATAGGGGGAATCGTTACATTTGCCCCAAGGAATAGATTTTCTACAAGTACAGCTATCAGATCGCATGTTCAACATTTCGAAGAGTTATTTCCACTTCTACCATCAGAAGAAGATTGCGAATGGCAAATTTGCGCCCTAGAAGACCTTTAAGGGCTCCACATCTTACTCGTAGACAAATTGTTGCTAGTCTCCAGTGAGCTAGAGAACATAAGGAGTGGCTTTTAACACAGTGGCGAAAAGTGGTATTTACAGATGAGGTTAGGTGTGGACTGGTGAGTGATGACTGTAGAATAAGGGTTTGGAGAGAACCAGGAAATCAACAGCGACTAAATTTGGCCCGAGAAGTTGTCCCATATCAGGGCGGATCAATAATGTTTTGGGGAGGCATAATGTTTAACCACCTTTGTCCTTTAATTCAGATCCAGGGCACAATGACTGCAGAAATTTATGAAGAAAATGTCATACAACCCATTATTCAACCTTTGCGAAATGAATTCGGCAACAAGTTCATTTTTATGGATGATAATGCAAGGCCACATAGAGCGAGAAGGGTCCAGCGGGCTCTAGAAAAGGGTCAAATAGTGAGACTGCCGTGGCCTGCGAACAGCCCAGACATGAACCCCATTGAAAACATTTGGCACACTATAGCTCGAGCCGTACGGAACAGAATATATCCACCTACAACCCTAAATGAGCAGGCTGCAGCAGTAAATGAAGAGTGGAATAATTTACCCCAAGAAAACATTAACCGCCGAATAATAGGAATGCCGTGTTAACGCACTGCTAAGATCTAGAGGACACGGAACTGGTTATTAATTATGTTTTATTTTTCTTTAGAATAATTATTTTTCTTTAATTTTGATTTTTAAAAATACAATATAGGAACAATGTAAAACGTGTACAGTTAAAAATTACTTACTAGGTACTTACTATACTAAAGCATCATGAGTCTAAATATTTATTTCCATTTTATCCGAAATTTCGATTATCCGAGAGCACTCGGGTCCACATCATTTCGGATAATCGGGGTTCTACTGTAGTCTTCGTCATCCAGATCATATGAGGAGCTTTGGAGCAAAACCGAATAAGTCCACCACAAACAATTTCTCGGAAAAGACGATTTTTTTACAGCGCAAAAAGTAATAGCATTTTCAGTTGTTTGCTACCAAATACTATTGGGGCCAACATAATTAAGCTTCCTCTGCAACCAAAATTATGAAATATACTAAGTGACATATAAATCCGACCACCCAGTTTAAATGGTTTTATTTTAATAAAATTTTGTATAAGTACTTAATGAAGCATAATAAGTAATTGATAAAAATTTCAAAATGATTGCACTGCTTTAAAGCCCTTTGACCTTTAATAATGTGTGGATGCACCCTGATGTGCTACGCATTCTCCAACGCGCCTAGGCATGCTTCTGATCAGGTGGTCAATGTCCTCCTGTGGTATCTCATTCCAGGCAACCACCAACTCCTCTCGAAGTGCTTGTAGAGTCTGAGCAGGACGTTGCAAATTGAGCAATCTCCTACCCATCATATCCCACACGTGCTCAATTGGGGATAAGTCGGGAAATCTTGGTGGCCATGGTAACAATGTGACATCATTATGTTGAAAGAAGTCTATTGTGACTCTTGCAACATGTGGTCGGGCATTATCTTGTTGGAAAGTTGGATCTGCCAGGGTGTCAAGATAGGGTAAAAGATGGGGTTCTAGAACTTCGTGGATATAACGCTGCGCGTTCATGTTACCTCTGATGAAGATTAAAGGTGACCTGGAACCATAAGCTATAGCACCCCAAACCATAACTCCAACAGTGTGATGAACATGTCTTTCAACAAAAAACTGTGGATTCCTCCTTTCACCACGTCGCCTTCTAACCCTGGCACGACCATCGTGCATGCCTAAACAAAATCGAGACTCGTCACTAAAGACAATACTGTTCCATTCCTGATCCCAGAGTGACCGTTGTCTGCACCACTCAAGGCGATTGCGTCGGTGTTCTCGAGTTAAAGGGAGGACCCAGTGTGGCCGGTATGAAAACAAGCCAAAACTTCTCATTCGTCGGTAAACACTTCGCATGCCAATAGGTCGTCCGTGTTCTGCAAACCATTCATTTGCAATGGACCTGGTAGTGGAGAAACGGTCCCTTAAGGCCAATAATCTTAGGCGGCGATCTTCACGGTCTGTTGTTCTACGGCGGCGTCCAGTGCCCCTTGCTCTTTGCGTACGGCCTTCTCGAAGCCATGCCTGACAACACCTAACCACAGTGTCTACACTTCTTTGCACTCTAACTGCAATTGCCCGAAAAGAAAGTCCAGCTTCCCGAAGTCCCACTATACGGCCCCTATCAAACTCACTAAGTTGACGAAATCGTACAGGTCTCCGTACTCTAGGCATCGTAACCGATCGTAAAGGATGTCAAGAACCAAAATCCGCCAACGTTGATTCTTTACTGCGGCTGAAATATTCATTTTTAGAGCGTTAATGAATTAAAAAAAAGCAGTATAAAAACCGGAATGTCCAACTGATAAGGCTGAACATTTTTTCACTTGTTATTTACAGTAAGATAAATACATTCACCAACTTTTATTAAAATAAAACCATTTAAACTGGGTGTTCGGATTTATATGTCACTTAGTATATTATGATTGTCAATATTACGATAAAAACAAAAATTGATTTATTCGGTTTTGCTCAAATCTTATGGATTTATTTGGTTTTGCTAGAAACTTTATTGACAGACATTAATGACAATAATGTTTTTATTGTTTGAAAGCTTTGAATCGCTAGCAAAGCATACAAATAAACAAAAACTATTCTATAACTTAAAACAAGTAAATTCCTAAAAAATGATTCACATATAAAAAATGATAAGCTATAAAAAATATTAGATTAATAATAGTTTATTTATTAAAGCTACATTGCAGTGACGCTTAAATATGTAACGCAGATTCCTCCTCCAAACAGTCGCAGTCATTATTTGTATCTCCTTCGTCGTTATTTTGTCATCGATTTGCACATATTTTCTATACCATTTTGTCAGTTTCCCACTCTTTTCCGAATTGTTGTTCCATAAGTTGTTTCACACTTTGTATCTTTTTTTGTGGAATGTTATCTCGCAACTGTACTTCTGATAGCGAAAAGTGCCCTAAGGTTTTCTCTCTTCTATAAACAGGTTTACAAACTTCTGATTGAGCTTCAAATCGGTAGTGCTGAAAGCATGCGATTGATATTTTGACCTCCCCTGTTTTTTGCACTTTTTTTGTATAGAGATGCGTTTTAAGTCAGATATTCCAGTAATCTTATTAAGGTAATTTTGAAGTTTTTTTTTTATACTCCAACTACGGGCCTAAGGCCTAAACACCCATTGGGTACCGTGGGGCTATAGGGGGATACAGGGGAAAGGGGGAACGCCACACGGACTCTGGCGAGGGAACACCTGTGCATGCAACATGTACACATTCTGGCTCCGCCTACGAGATCCGCCGGGTGGTACCTCCACGTTCGACAGTCAGAGACCGTCTACCACCTACGGGCAATCACAACATCCATAGCCAAGAGAAAAATTTCTCCTGGGACGGGACTCGAACCCGCACAGCGCACGCCGACTGATCAGGAGACCGAAGAGTCTACTACTGCGGCCACCGCTGCTGCCTTTATATCAAAAATTTTCCAATCTTTTCCTAACACTTACATTTCCAGCTTGTGAATAATAACTGACATAATCTTCTTTAGACAAAATGGTTGGATTTTTTCTCACACGTCCAAAGACCCTATCGGCGGGCATAAAACTATGACCTCTCACAGGGTAAGTGATGATAACTCCGGTAAAATTATCGGGAGAAAACCTTAGGAGCCAAAAAATTAAAATATGGATAATGTGGGAGTTTTATTCTGCCCCCCACATCCATCACAGAACAATCAAATCTGAGCTATGCCAGTTAAGTCTAATGACTTTAGGTAGTCAAACAAAGCAGACCCAATCTCTGTGGCGCCTGTCGCAGCCTGATCTTCTGTCCAAATATAAAAAGTAGGATTTCTTGAGCTCATGTCAACACCGCAGAAAGAGTAGAGACTTATTTGTTGCGAATGAAAAGCATCGGAAATAGGAGTGCGTGGTAAAGGCTGTACCTGATGCAGGTCGAAATAGAACGTCAAGGAATTTTGTGGATTTTCTTTGGAAAGCTCGTAAAAAGCCTTGGCTCTTTTTATATGAAGTCGGTATTCTGTCATATAAGTAACTTTTCTTGCCTGTTCTTTTTCTGATTTAACCAGATGTTTGAGACGCGTGCATTGGGAACAGGTATCTAAAGCCAGAGACGAAAATCCAATGTTAAATTCTGTAAGAAAAACTTTTCTAAACATTGAATATTTTACTTGGTACTAATTTTCAAGTTGTTCGTTATAATTTTTTCAATTCGCTAATACTTAAGTGAGCCGGTAAATAAATTCTTCTCGACTTTTTACGATCATAATGACTCTCGATACCTCTTAATTTGCCTATGAATTCGTACACCTTTTCCCGCTTGGACAAACTTTTTCGTGAAACAACTCCCCCTCTGTTTTCTTTTGGACACTGCCCCAAATCAATCATTTTGCACAAAGTAATTTTTAACGCCCACTGCTGCCATAAAAAAAAATCTACAAACTTTAACTGCCTTTGTTGATCTATTTCCCTTAACTTTAAAAAAAAATGCTGCCCTTGTTCGCTGTCGAGGATTGTTCTTCACAGGTCTCTTCCTTGCAGTAGTAGAAACGCTGTTCATGTGGCAAAGCTTCATATCTTGCATGGTTTTGTCCGGAACGTCATACAATTTACTTCTTATAGCCCTAATGTCAGATATTTTAACTTTTTGGCACTGGAAAGTTTTATTATCATGTGAACACGGTCGCTTAAATTTTGTTAAATCTGGATCTGGATCTTGGTATCTATAACAAAAAGCGTCATACAGTACAGTTTGAAGAATAAGCTACCTTCACCTAGTCTAACATTCGTACAATGTAACTTAAATAAATGAAATTACCTTCCACGTTTCCTTATTTGCTTTTTATTAGCTCTTTTTCTTATTTTGCTCCCATCATTGATATTACTCACGGCTGATTCATCTCCTTGAACTTCTTCCATATTTCTCTCTTTAAACGTTTACACTACCACCCCAAAGAGCTGAAGCAATGTTGGGCAGGATACAACAAGATCGACAACTAGGCGTATTTTAATTCCCCTGGAGAACATCTATTGCCATCTAACAGCTAGTGGCCTAAATACAAACAGTTTACTAGTCAACCCTCAAGGGTCAAATCTAGGTCCATTATTGTTTTTGATATTTATTAATGCCTTGTCTTTTAAACTGAAGTGTTTCCATTTGTTTTTCGCTGATGACCTTACGTCAGTCAAGACAGTCGAGGATTGCGTCATGTTGCAAGATGACTTAGCTCTAATTTCGTCATGGTGGTCACGAAACTGTCTCAGTCTGAATGTTTCGAAATGTAAAGCTTTGACTTATACAAGAAAGGTTAACTATTTAATTTATGATAATTATAACATCAATGGTCAGGATATAGACAGAGCACCTCTTATAGAGACCTTGGAGTCATTTTTGATACCAAGCTAACGTTTACTGAGCATATACTCAATATCTCGTCGGCTGCCACTCGAATACTCGGTTTCTGTATCAGAAACTGGAAGGGTTTCTCCAATGTTGATACATTAATGACTTTATTTTTTACTTTTGTCAGGAGCAAGTTGGAGTATGCGACTCTGATCTGGTCTCCTATATACCAAAATTCTGTCGTGATCCTTGAGGCCATTCAACGTAAAGCTTTAAAGTATTTTCACCTTAAATGCACAGGTTCTTACCCAGAAAGAGGTTGTGACCCCTGGCCCTATTAGAGTTTTTCAATTTGGATTCACTGTCAACAAGACGAAACATATTTGCTTTGTCGTTTTTGTATGGCCTCATTCACAATAAAATTGACTGTCAAAATTTACTTGAAAAAATATGTTTCCGCGTTCCAAGGCTAGGGAGTCGACAACAAACGGCATTCTATTGTCAAGCTGGCCGAACAAATGTTATGACAAAATCGACAATTAATCTCATGTGCTGCGTCATAAACAGTGTTACTGAATCGTGAGATATTTACAGTGACAGTTGTGCATCGATTATTAACTGCTATAGATCATCCAATCTTATTTAGAATGTGTGATACTACAGATTTAAGTCCAAGAACCATGTCTCTTTAATTTTTAGCATTTCCTGTAATTGGGTTTCACCTGTTGTAAATAAATAAATAAATAAATTATATGGATTTATTCGCTTTTGAAGTAAACCCGGATTTATTTGGTTTTGCACGAAAACGATTCTTTCGCTGAAATTTACGAGGATATGTTCGTTTTTGCTCGGTAATGTGTAGCTTATATTATGTATTTTAATAAAGTGAGTCGATATTCGCAGCTAACTCAATTTTCATAAAATGTGGATTTATTCGGTTTTGTTCCAAAGCTCCTCATATGCACTGTTCGATCGTGCCCATGTCTATGAACTGCAAAATTGCAGGTAGGATTCATGATACCAGAATAATGAACTACGAATTCACGAAACCAGAAATGTATCTAATAATAGCAGCCAGTAAGCTAGCAGCAGCAGGTATTTCGAAACGGTACTGCGTGAGTGCAACTCGAAGAAACAACGTTCTGTATATGGCGATGATACAGACGAGAAACTGACGGACTGACCTCCGCGCCCGTGCCCAAGGCCTGTTTATGCGAAACGGCTTGGTACTACTTGTACGATTTGTGTAACCTTTTACGAGATGACTGCACGGTTTTTTCACGAAGGAAAAATATCCTGAAAGTAGGTCGATCCCATATTGTGAGGGCAAACGGGAGATATTTTAAAGTTATGAGATTTGGTTTACAGTATGATCTCACGTCTCATCGGGATGACGTCACATATTTTTTTTTCGGTTTCGTATAAGCTCTTCGATTGAAGTCTGAAGGCTACAACTATTGAACACTCTAATCATATTTGGTACTCAAAACAGATTTTGCCGACAAAGCTTTACCAGAGCCGTATACGAGACGACCTCACGCTCTCTGGCGAAAAAAATATACCTACTGAACTTGGGCATGGTACGGTGTGGCGAGGGATTACGACTCTTGAAATATTTCTGTATAATTTCTTTGTATGTGGGAGTGTAGGCTGTAAAGATTAAGCTGTCTTCTTATTTGGCGCTATAAAAGTGCTTTGCTCGAAAAGCTTTTTGAGGGTTTGAAAGACGCTTCTATGGATTTCATCGTTTTGGGCCGATGCATACAACCGAATAAATTATAGTTAAAAAAACTAAAAAATACGCTTTAATAGGAAATCTAAATACACAGTAGAAAATTTTTAGTATCAAAAAGACTTCTATTTTTGATATATTTTATATTTGAGAATAGATCTCAATTTACTTCATGCTTGTATACGTAACCTTTCCATTTCATATTCAATTTTTTTTTCAAAATTCTCAAATATTAGAGTTATAAAATTGCCAGAAAACTGTACTGGGTGTAGTGTACGCAATATGGCACTGAGAGCTGCGAATATTGAGTAAAACTTTGACCCGTGGAAGTCTGTAGAAGTGCTAAATTCATAAATAGATTATATTTTTTTAATTATAAAGTCATATAAATTTAACCAGCAGTGGAACCTGCGAGTCACCACTGTGCGGCACATCTGAACTCTCCCAAAAAGAGAAAACAGTTAAGTCCGTACGCAATATAAATATAGCTTCAGACTGTAGCTAAAACCATCAAAATATTTTCTCTGAATCACAAATAGAAGCAGTGATTCAACGGGATTCTCGAATCACGAATGCATCCAGTTCAGTCTGGGGTCATCTGTCACAAGTTCCAAATAGAAAACATTGGTCCGAATCCGTCCACAATTCCACAAAAATATATATTCATCCGTTTCAAATTAGATTTGACACGTCTCATTCGCACCATGTCGTCGCACTCATATTATATTTTTAACTCTGAGAATAATCATAACATGACGTTTTCCAAAGAGCTAATATTAAATCAAGCGCAACTTTACTGGATGTATTGATTTGCCATAATCTTAAGAATTTCACTTTATTGAATATCAATTATAGAAGCGTTGAAATGTAGATAATGTAAAATGAGAGCATTTTTATTATAAAATTCAGTAGAAATTAGATTATTATTTATACGCTATTCAGGCTTTAAGGGTAATAATAACAAAGTCTGAAAACAATCTGAGTTGGTGAACTTGCATGAAAAAAGTCAATCTAGCTGATGCTTTATTTGCATGCACTTATTATTTTAATCAAAATTTAGAGCCATCTACTGTAATGGACAAAAGTATATAAACAAATTAATATTGTGCTGTATTTCTTTTTTAACTTGATTTATCAATACACCAACCTGTATACATAATTCGTTATAGCATAATACTCATTTATACATAAATAAATTCATTAGACTCCCTTCAGTAAAAAAATAATTGAAAAAAACTGGAACTATGAAGGACAAAAATATATAGACAAAGCAAAACAATTATAGAAAAAAGAAGCAAAGTTCATTGAATTATAGAAAACCAACCATTTTTGTGTTAATATTTTGTAGCATAACCATTCTTATCAATCACCGCCTGGCATCGTCTCGGCATAGATTGTAGAAGTTTCTTGATATAAGAATCATCAATCTGTCTCCACTTTTGCTCTAAAGCGGCAAAAATTCATCCTTGTTTGAATAATTTTTATCTCGTATTTGCTTATCAAAGTATTCCCATAGATTTTCAATGGGGTTTATATCGGGAGATTGTGAAGGCCATTTGAGAACTGGTATTTTTTGATCCAGAAAGAATTTCTTTGCGAGATTTGAAGTGTGCTTCGGGTCCTTATCTTGCTGGAAGATTGATCTTAAGGGCATATTGTCTTCCATATAGGGTAACATGACATGCTTTAGTATGTCTGTGTATACAAACTTATCCATAATGCCATCTATTCTATGTAAAGGTCCCATCCCAAACCCCGAAAAGCACCCCCAAACCATAACAGACCCGCCTCCATGTTAGACAGTGGGCAAAGTGTACTTGGGGTTCAACCTTTGTCCAGTAGGACGTCTAACGTAATCAACACCATCTGATCCAAACATATTGAACTTGGATTCGTCACTGAAACATACCCTCTTCCAGTCACAGATGCTCAAATCAAGATGCAACCGTGCAAATTGTAATCGATCCTTACGGTTTTTCCTCGAGATTAGCGGCTTCTTACTGATGTGACGTGCAAATAACTTTAAATCATTTAGTATTCTACTTATAGTTTTCGTAGAAACACTGACAATTCCTTTTGTCTCGATTTCGGCTTTTATTTGTCTTGGGGTTTTAAACGGAGCTTTGGACGAAATTACTTTTATTAATCTAACTGATCTAGCATTTAGTTTTCTAGGCCGACCACTTCTCTTACAGGCTTCCAAGATACCTTTTTGTTTATATTTGCTCAATATGGCCCAACGCTTCAGCTTCAAATTTTTGGCAATGTCGACTTGACGTTGACCATCTTTGTATAACTCAATGGTCTTAGTTTTCACATCGAAAGAAATTTCCGGACCACGCGGCATGGTCTTAAAATCACTCAACTTATTCCACAATACTTGATGAACACAAACTAATCCTCTTCTGACACGAAACTGTACTAAACTAATATTGAAAAGAATTAGTCTACATATTTTTGTCCCTCATAAAAAAGTGTTTATATTCAGACTTGTAGGTATTGTGTTCATTGCAGATAATGTAAAAACAAGGAATTTAGTTTTTATACTAATAACGCATTTGTTTATAGAGCAATGAACTATGAATTCGTTTTCTAAAGATATTTAGATCAATATTCATATTTGTCTATATACTTTTGTCCATTACTGTATATGGCTGCATTTTAAACCTAGTGTAAAAGTTTATTCAGATAGTATATGGTACTAAAAAATCATTTTCAGGGGATTAATTTCCTTTAGAAGAATTTAGAATATGTCCTTGAAGGCTGTGCAACCGATAAAAATATTCATCTCATTACCCTGTAATAAAAACAATTTAACAGAAACAGGGATCACAGTTGTTTGTTTACATGCAGAAATATTGTTTACAGTTGTCTTATCTCAGAATATTAACTT